AAGCAGTGTGTTGGGGAGGCAGAATGGTGCTGTGGTTAGTGAGAACTCAGGACCCGACTCCACAGGTTCCCATCCAACTTCCTTGCTGTGTGGCCCCTCGAAGTTCAGGGTCACAGTCAGAAGCCGTCTCACGGGCTTGCTGGGAGGATGGAGGAGTCTCCATGTGTCACTCAGTGGTGCCACGTGGGGTCACTGCTGCTATTCCAGTCACTGTTACTGGCAGCCATTGATGTGGGCAGCGGGTCAGAGAGAGGGCGAGACGGATGCCCACGGTGCTGGTCTGGGCACTCGGGAGGACGGAGTGCAGATGTGGGGGGAGAGGTGGGCGCAGTGGTTTGGGGCATGAGTCTGAGGCACTAGGGGGACAGCAGGGGTGAAGCTAAGGAAGCCGAGTCACATACAGGGATTTGGGCCTTAGACAGGCCTGCAGAGCACAGAGGGCTAAGCGACAGACAGGGAGGGTCTTTTTAATGGGAAAGAGTTGAGCTGCCTAAACGCTGGTGGGAAGAGCCTGGGGAGAGCACGCCGAGGACAAATGCCCCCAGTAGGCGTGGCCTTTATGATTTTTCTTGCCATTATCATCACCGTGAAAGGCCTGGACAAGGAGCCATGATATTAACCACAGCCGCCTGTTCTGCCGCTAACAGGAGTTATTTGTAACGAGGTTATAATGACATGGAAAAATTGCTTATAAAGTGATAAGAAAAAAGCGATATAAAGCATTGTATATGCAATATGTCAACTATGGAAACACACCTAAAATGTACGTGTGGAGAACTATGCAGGGAGGGATGCCTGGAAGAAGTGGTGCTATTTCTGGGTGGTAGGGGTCAAGCAGGCTTCCCTCTGAATCTGCCAGAATGGGTGTATGTTAGCTTTTTCATTGAAAAGTCAAGTAAACTTTATTTTATAAAAGGAAACCAACTAGGGTGGCTAGGGGCTGCCCCTGCCAAGATCACCAGGACAAACCTTGTTCTCCGAGGGCTTGAGTTTCTACATCTACAGAAAGAGGGGGCTAAAGAAAAAGTTCCCCAACGTGTGTTTCTGGAGACTCTGCCTTCGGAGAGGTCCCAGAAAGGAAAGGCTGTGTAGTCAGGCTTTGGGAACTCTGTGTGCTCACAAATTCTGAGAAGATCCATCCTCCCCCCGCTCCCCCCAAAAGCCCTGCTCAAACCTGTTTAACTGTCAAACACAAGGTCTATTAACACCCCGTGGAATGGTGTTCCAAGGAACACACTTCCCCAAGTTCCCCTGCAGCTCCACCATTCTACAAGGTATTCAGATAACATCCTTCTGTGGGGTTGGCAGAGCAACTGGGGGACCTGGGGGGAGGTGAGACTGTGGTAGCTGCTTGGCTGCCCTCCTGGACCCCACATCCCCCCCACCAATGGCTGTCCTGAGCACCTGTGTCCTCCCAGCCTCTGCTCCCAGCTGATGCCTCCGTTCAGGTGTTGCCTCGGCCTGGGAAGGAGACACTGAGGACTGAACATGCCAGAACAGGGAAAATCCTCTCCTTTTCCATCTCTGCAAACTGCGTATCTGAAAATACTTTCATATCACCTAATGCCACGACCCCCAATGACTGATGTGAGGATGGGGCAACCTGGGGTGCCCCCAGCCCGGAGCTCTGGGATGCTGCCTGGCTCCTGCCCCAGTGGCCAGGGCCCTTGCTTGTTATGCTAATGAGGGAGGGAGTGAATAATGAATACCCACAAGGCTAATCCTGGGCTGTTTAAAGAATTTCATTTAAATGCAGGCAAGTAGGAAGACAGCAATAATGATTCACAATACCCCTTTTCTATTATTGAGCTTAAAAAATGGTGGAAGTATACAGAAATAAAAATAGATTTTATAAGTAAACTAGAGGCCCGGTGCACAGATTCCTGCACTGGTGGGGTCCCTCGGCCTGGCTTGTGGGGATTGGGCTAAAACTGTCTCTCCAACATCCCCCGAGGGGTCCCAGATTGCGAGAGGGTACAGGCCAGGCTGAGGGACCCCACTGGTGCACAGATTCATGCACCGGGCCTCCAACATTCCCCAATGGGTCTGGGGTGCAGGTGAGTGCACGGATTCATGCACCGGGCCTCCGACATTCCCCAATGGGTCTGGGGTGCAGGTGAAGCAGATTCGGGGCTGACAGTGCCCCAGCAGCAACCTAACCCACGGCCGATTCTGCAAGTTGGAGCGTCTGCCCCCTGGTGGTCACTGCATATCATAGCTACTGGTCAAATGGTTGGACAGTTCCTTAGGCTTTTATATATAAAGATAATGGTTCCCTTTTCCTTCCCTGATATGGTTATTCCCTCAATTATTCACTTGAAAATGATTATTTTGTGAATCTGATGAATGCTTATATACCATATGCAAATTATAGCCCCCCGGTGAGGTAAAATATCTATATATGAAACAGAATATAGTGTGAATCATAGCTAATTTTAAATATTTTAATTTATATACTTTCATGATTATAGGTCAATAAGAAATCCACTTTTCAGATTTTATTTCATTACAGAATATATTTGATAAGGATACATACAAACAGATTCACCTTTAACACATGTTCACTGGTGCCCTGTCCGCAGCAGCCGGGAGCTGTCTGTCATCACAACGCTTCGCAGTGTCGTGACCAAATCGGCTGGCAGGACAGCCAGGGCTGAGTCCAGACAGCTCAACATTTACTTGCCTAGAACAAGTAAAAACCTTAATATTTGTTTTTAAAGTCTGCTTATTACTCTTCTATTTTAAAATCTGAGATACATTCCTCAATGTAAACAATACATTTCAGTCTACCTCACAATCGAAATGGATAAGGCCTTCTTGACAAATGGATGCCGCCTACGTTTTACTCATCAGAACGCAATCTCATTTCATCGCCAAGCGAGCCGGCCAGGCACAGAAGACAGGAAAGAAGCTGCCTTGCGTACCTGGCGGAGCCTCCCAGACTCCCTGCTGCAGGTTTGTGGTATCTTTTTGACTTGGTCTACTTGGTCTTAAAATACAAATATACAATGTCCATAAGCATAAAATAGTAAAGCCTAGCCTTACGTATTTATTTTGAATCCCTAAAATCCTATACAAGTACAATACCATATCATGCCAATTAATATACAGAGGAAGGTGACCAAATGTCTCCACTGACGGGGCAGGTGGACGGGGACCACCGGGGGCGCCATTCACGGGGGTGTCAGGGCTGACTGCATTGGGCTCGGCCGGCAGTCTAGCTGCAACTCTGAAATGCCTGTATCCCCGGCTGAACCGTTAATCAACCCCCTTCCCACCCGCCTCCCAGAGGGAGAACTGAATGGAACCGTAGACAATGGAACCAAAGGAAGTCATAGCTGCATTTCCTGACTCAGCTGTGCAGTCGGTTCTTCCCTCTACTCAATCCGTGTGTCCCTTTAGGACCAATTAAGCAACAGTGATCGTGATTCAGTACCTCATTCTCATAAACACCGGCCTCGCAGGCTCCATGGTGAGCGAGTCAAGCCTGCGTACAGTATCTGAAGGCATTCTGTGACCGTTTCGAAGAGTTCATAGAAAAGGTAGGAAGGATATACCAGTTAACCTGTTGATGTCGCCGTGCTGTAAACCTTGGCTTTTTTTTTTTTTACATTACATGTGTTTTATATATTGTACAACAGAGAAACCTGAACTGCTGATCCGACGTGGCGCTCACTGATCCACTACGCTAAGGTAACCGGTACAGGGAGTGGTTTTCCTGAGGTTTGTGAGAACTTTTCAAACAAAACAGAAATCACAGTGACCGAGTAACCGAGTCTGTGCCTCGGGGCCTGCACTGCTCCCGGGTCCCCGCCGGCACTAAATGACCCGCCACTGCATGATGCTGGTGTCTTTGCCGCCCGTGGAGATGAGGTGGCTGTCATCACAGAGGAAGTCAACGTTGGTGACGTGACTGCTGTGCCCACTGTACACGTGGCTGGGGGCCTGGGAAGAAGACAGGGAGGGAGCTCAACGCAAAGCGCACGATCTGGAGCCGACGGTGTGGGAATTCTGCGCGCGTTCCCGCATTCCTGCATCTCCCCTCACTCGGCTGTGCTCCTTTGTGCCGCGCTCTGCACAGCTCAGGCGGGACCCAGACACAACCACTGGGGGACAGACAGGGGCAAGGGACTGTCCTGGGTGGACACATTCAATCCCAGAGATGCCAGCAGTGGAGGGTGAGGGGTGTCCTTCTAAAGGAGGGTCAGGGAAGGGAAGGGCCAGGAGGGGCGAGCTGGGCAGAGGTCAGCACAGCAGGGCTGCAGCAGAGGGGCTGTGGTGGAGGGGAGAGGAGTGAGACCCACCAAGGAAGCCACAGAGGTAGCGGAGCCAGGTCTAAGGGCTTCCTGGAGGGCAGGGGGAGCCCCTGAAGTGCTCAAGGGCAGCGGTGACAGGGCCAGGTCTGCACCTGTGATAGGTGGCATGCACTCATGGGCCTTTCTATGTAAGTGCCAAGCGCATCCCACGAGGGGTGAGGTTTGTGAAGACCGGTCCTTACCCTGAACTGCGAACAAGGGTAAGAGAAGAGGTGCACTTTGCCGAAGTCATCGCCCGTCGACAGGACTTTCTTCTCGTGGGCCCGACAGACGGCATTGATGTCGGTCCCGTCCGAGCCTTCGGGCCACACTCCTAAAACGAAGACCACAGACAGCATGGGAAATACCAGAAACACTGGCCACTGCGTGGGGACTGCTTTAAACTCTCACCAAAGTAAAATCGCCCACGTTCCGGGCTTAGACCAGGGCCAAGAGAGCGCTCTGTCTGGTTCCGGCCTCTCCCTGTTCCCATGAGCAGCTCACTCCAGGCCTCCCAAGAAGCCCTTCAAGGCTTAGCCCTGCTCTGTGGCAGGACAGGAGCAACAACAGGCTCGCTGGGCTCCTACCTTTTGGGGGCCCCTTCTTTTTTGTCCTTTTTTTTGGGGGGGGGCTTCTTGACAAGACAGCACAAAGTGCGCCAGAAACCCTGCTTCTGGACACAGTGCCTTTCTTTTGTCCCCAAGTGTCTGATGGGAAGCTGACTAGTCCTCAAGCATGCAGTTTCCTAACTTTTCTTTTTTCCAGGCAACTCTTTATATATGAAAGTCTCTCCCAAGAACTTTTTAACCCTGAGTCTGAGTGTGCCTTTCAGACATTTCTTGGGGTCAGCTCTTCGTGGCTGCTGCTTGCTGACACCAGGCAGGTGTCGTGTCTGCCTGCCGTGGGCTGGGGGAGGCAGCAGCTCTGGCTCTGGTGGGCTGGAAGCGTGGTCTGGGGTGGTGTCTTCTGACAATTGCTCCAGGAAACCCCTTTGGTCCCAGTCACTTCGGCTCTGAGAGCTGTGTGTGCATCAGTTTCTCAGCTGGAAGTTCTGTGGTAAACCCGGGAGTCCTCGCTTTTAATACCAGAAAATGGTAAAATGCCAGCTCTAAGGAGATTTGTGAAATTCTCACCAAATGACTGACCGACCTATAGTCTTGCAGAAAGAGGTTATAAATACTGCTTTTTTTTCTTACTGTATTGTGGCAATTTAATTTAGATCATTTAGGAATATATTCCTAATCTGAACTTAGAAGTGAAAATTCGAGTTTAAGGACCAAGAAGGTAGAGTAATAACTAACAAAGGACGAGTGAATTGACTGAGTGCCGTCTGCTCATCTACCCAGGAACTTGGGCACAACCTTCACACACAGGGAAAGGGTGGACACCGTGTCCCGGCTCCTCTCGCCCGGCCCTTCCCGGAGCTGCAGGGACTGGGTCCTGCGGCCTCACAGAGCAGCTCAGCACGCTGACGAAACTGGCGACTCCGAGGCTTCCTGACCCTTAGGGGAGTATTCTGAAAGTGGACACACTTACATCTGAACCGCGTGAAAGCTGCGGAAACTTACCAAAGACATGGAATCCCAAAGTGCAGGTGTATGTAGCCCACTCGATGTCTCTTGTAGTTTCCACACTGACGACTTGCTTGCATGCGGAGGGAACCCCTGGCAAAAGCAAACACAGGTGTGGTGACACCTGAGCAAAAGCCCCCTCTCTTTCTGGGGCAAGACAGAGCCCTCAGGAGAGGGACCCGATCACCTCTCAGCCCAGGGGAATCGCGCTCCTGGCCGGCACTGAGCTCAGCCCGGGCCTGCGAGGGGCCCACCTCTTCCTCGCTGTCTTCCCACCTCCCTCCCTGGATCTGTTTCCCCGAGTCTGGCTTCTCCTCTCTTTGACCATACTCTGGCTCCTAGGCCTCCACCTGCTCCTGTGCCCCCTGGAGCCCTGAACACACTGGAGCTCCCTATCTCTCCCCCTCCCCACATACAAATGCGCGCGCGCGCACACACACACACACACACACACACACCCAATCCCTTTAACCCCAAGCTTATGAAAACCAGTTGACCCAGTACCTATGGCCTCCCAGGTGACTGGTTTGTTCCCCAAATGAGCTCTTACTAGTGAAGTGTAAGACTGTGTCTGAGTAGACCCAGAGCCTGTCCCCGAAAACCTTCCCCTGTTTCTGCCCCGCACAAGGCAGGACCTTGGAGAGGGCGGGAGGGCTGCCCCTGGCTGCCTGCCCTGCTGGAGGGGGCACTGTCCTGGCCCAGGCATCTTCTCTTTCCATCCACCTCCAGCTGCCCTGCCTGTCTGGGCTCTTCAACAACTGGGTGATCACCCCCCTTCCTCTCCCCCCGCTGGCCTTGATGCCTATGGCCTCCTGTCTGGGCCCCGATTTCCTTGTCTACAAAAGGGGATGAGCCTGAAAGTGCTGCGGCTCCTGGAGGAGATGGAGGTCAGAGCAGCACACTTTTTAGTGCCCCCTTGTGTTTAGCCAGAGCTGGGCATGCGGCAGGTGCTTGACAAGTGTTCACAGAAGCAGAGCACGGCATGCACCATGTGCTCAGTAAGTGCCAGCCATTATGACCCTCACCACTCCCAGGTCCTGCCTGGGCACAGACACCGGCCAGAGGGGTTGGGAGAGGAGGAGGGGTCCCAGGGGGCTGCTGTCACCCAGGCGGGAGAGCCTTCATGGTCTGCCTCAGGGGGATGATGTCCCCACGGGGTCCCTCTCACTGTGACGGCTCTGACCCCACTCTCTTCTGCCACAGCTGCCCCCTCCGGCTTCTCTCTGCAGAGCCTGGCCTTCTCCTTCCCGGGGCCCTAATCTCCTCGACAGGACCGTGGTCGGCCCGGTCTCAGGCGTCTCAGCGTTGGGAAGGACTTGCGAGAGGCCCAGCCCACCATCTGTTTCACAGAGGACAGAGCCGAGGCTCGAGGTGTACGGGAAGCGGGTTTGGCAGGAGGCCAGCTTTGGTCTCAGAGGAAACGTAACCCTGGGTGCTACTCACAGTAAAGAATTTCGTAGTCTCCAGAATTTGACACGAGGAACTGTGAGTTTACAGACCAGTCCAGGTGTGTAATGAAGCTGGAATGACCCTGGGAGAGAAACACAGCCTATGAGGTTCCCTTGTCTGATGAGCTCCTGACCAACAGTAATGACCGCCACGGGCATGAGAAATTGCGGGCTTACCGAGCATTTGCCGACTCGCGTGTACTTCCGCCCATTGTCACTGACTCCGTAGATATAGATACAGTTGTCATGGGAGCCTATTGCTAAGAAATTCCCGTCTACAAAGATATGGCAGATTATAATTCAATTATTAAAAATAAACACTTGATCAATTATAAGGGGTAATGCTAGGTGCCATCACAGATTAGAAAACAGCCAGATTAATGAGTTATTTCAAAAAGGAAATGTGCGCTTGAATGACTCCTCTCCCACTTCTAGAACTACCTTTTGGAAATCGCACCTGGCCAGTCCCTCTCCTTATAACACCCTTCCCCGCGCAGAAGCGGAGGGACCGAGGCTCAGTTTGTAAGTGGGGCCACAAGGCCCTCCAGGATGTAGCCACTCACTGCTCACGGAGCTGCAGGTTCTCTCAGGCCTCTGAACACCGCCTCCTCCCTGGCCTGGGAGGCCCTTCCTGCCTCATCTCTGTGCACACTGCCTCCCTCTGCCTGATTATTGAAAAGATCAACAAAGTTGACAAATCTGTAACTAGGTTGACCAAGAAAAAAGGAGAGAAAACACAAGTTACCAGATTCAAGAACGAAAGAAGACTTCACTACCAATCTCAGAAAAATGAAAAGGATTAAAAACAAATGTTATGAACAACTTTATGCCAATAAATTAGACAACTTAGATGTAATGGAAAAATCACCAAAACTGACTTAAGAAAAAAGAAAACATTTGAATAGATCTATAAGAAGCTGAGAAATTGAATTAGAAATTAAAAACCTTCCTACAAAGAAAAGCCCTGATAGCTCACTGAATTCACATGAATTCTATCAAATATTTAATAAAGAAATAACACCAATCCTTGATAAACTCTTTCAGAAAATGAACAAAGAAGAAACATTTTCCAAGTTTCCCTATAGGCCAATAGCAGTCTCATAACTAAGCCAGACAAAACCATCACCAGAAAACTTCAGACCAATATCCTTCATAAACATAGATGTAAAAATCCTTAACAGAAGATTAAACAGAATCCAGCAAAATATAAAAAGGATTAGATACCATGACCACGTGAGATTTATCCCAGGAATGCAAAGATGGCTTAACATCTGAAATTAATGTAATGCACCATATTAATAAAATGACAAAAACTACATGATCATCTTGATAGATACAGAAAAAGCATTTGGCAAATTCTAACACCCATTCATAATAAAAACCAACCAGACACCATGACCACATGAGATTTATCCCAAGAATGCAAAGATGGCTTAACATCTGAAAATTAATGTAATGCACCATGTTAATAAAATGACAAAAACTACATGATCATCTTGATAGATACAGAAAAAGCATTTGGCAAATTCTAACACCCATTCATAATAAAAACCAACCAGATTAGGAATGGAAGGGAACTTCCTCATGATACTTAACAATAAGTGACTGTTTTCACCCTAAGACTGGGAGCAAGGCTAGGACCCATTTTGCCATTTCTGTTCATCATCACGTTGGAGGTTCTAGCAAATGCAATAAGGAAAAAAATAAAGGCACCCAGATTTAAAAAGATGAATAAAACTGTCGTTGTTTGCAGATGACATGCTCCCGTATGAAGAAAATCCCAAGAATTTTACACACAAAGAAACCTACTAAAACTAATAAAAGAGTTTAGAAAGGTCACAGATGTAAGATCCATGTGCAAAAAAAATTTATTTCTCTGTACTAGCAAACTACATTCTGAAAACAAAAGAAAAAACAACTTCATTCACAATGGCATAAAAAGCAACTTGGGAACAAATTTAACAACGGAAGTATAAGACTTGTGCACTGAGAACCGTAAAACATTGCTGATAAAAATTGAAGATCTAAATAAATGGAGAGACATTCTAAGTTCAAGGATTATAAGACTCAATCTTGTAAAGATAGCAATTCTCCCCATATTGATCTATAACAGCGGTTCTCAACCTGTGGGTCGCGACCCCTTTGGCGGTCTTCAACATATTACAATCCTTGTAGATTTTAAAATTAGAACTTGACAGAACAGAAATTGAATTAGAAATTAAAAACCTTCCTACAAAGAAAAGCCCTGATTTTAGTTGATTCTAAAATTTACATAGACATGATAAGGACCAAAATAAGTAAAACAATTTTGAAAAAGAACAGAATTGGAGTAATTACACTATTCAATTTTAAAATTTACTGCAAAAGTACAATAATCAAAATTGTGTGGTATTGGTATATGGATAGATATATAAATGAATGAATAGAACTGAGAATCTTGAAATAAACCTTTATATTTATTGTTAATAGATTTTCTGTTGTTGTTGTTAATCCTCACCTGAGAGCATTTTCCATTGTTTTTTAGAGAGAGTGGAAGGGAGGGAGAGAGACACAGAGAGAGAAACATCGATGTGAGAGAGACACATCAATTAATTGCCTCCCACATGGGATCGAGCCAGCAACCCGAATATGTGCCCTTGACCAGAATTGAACCCAGGACTCTTCAGTCTGCAGGCTGACACTCTATCCACTGAGCCAAATCGACTAGGGCATGTTAATGGACTTTTGACAAAAGTGTCAAGATAATCCAATAGGGATAGAATTGTATTTTCAACAAATGGTGCTGGGACAACTGGATATCTTCATGCAAAATAAATAAACTTAGACTGACCTCTCACCATACACAAGCATTAACTCAAAAATGGATCATAGACCTACATATAATGGCTAAAACAATAACCTTTCTAAAAGTAAGCATAGGAGAAAATCTTTGTGACTTTTGACTATGACACCATAAGCAAGATCCATAAAAGAATAAAATGGATAAACTGGACTTCATCAAAATTAAAGCATCTGCTTTTTTAGACCCCATTAAGAAAATGAAAAGACAAGCCATACACTGAGAGAAAACATTTGCAAATCATATAGCTGATAAAGAACTCACAGAATATAGAAAGAGTTCTTACAACTCAGTAGTAAGATAAGCAACCCAATTAAAAATGGGCAAAATATTTGGGTAGAGAGTTCATCAAAGAAGATACAGAAATGACTGGTAGATACATGAAGAGATGCTTAACCTCTCTGACAGTCTTTATGGAAATGTAACTTAAAACCACCTGAGAAACCACTACACCTCTATTAGGAGGGCTCTACTGAAAAGACAGACTATGGCAGGTGTTGGTGAGGACGTGGAGAAACTAGACCCCTGACACAGTGTTGGTGGGACTGTAAAGTGGGGCAGCCACTTTGGAAAGCATTTTCATCAGATGTTAAACATAAATTTGCCCTATGATCCACCAATTCCACTCCTAGGAATTCACCCGAGATAAATGAAAACAAATGTCTACAAAAAGTACATATCATAACTGTTCATAGCAGCGTTACTCCTAATAACCAAAACACCGAAACAATCCTAGTGTCTGTTAACTGATAAATAGATAAAGAAAATGTGGTATATCCACAAAATGGAATACCATCCAGTAATTAAAAAGGGATATATAGGGGGGATAAATGGTGATGGAAGGAGACCTGACTTGGAGTGGTGAACACACACTACAATATATAGTTGCTGTATTATAGGATTGTACACCTGAAACCCATAATTTTATTAACCAATGCCACCCCAAAAATTCAATTAAAAAAGGAATAAAGTACTGATACATGCACAATAACATAAATTAATCTCAAAAACATTATTCTAAAAACAAGAAGCCGATGTAACAGGCTACATGTTGTCTGATTCCACTGATATGAAATGTCCAGAACAGGCCATTCGCAGATCAGCACAGCACATTAGAGGGTGCCAGAACTGGGGGTGGAGGCGGAAATTAATTGCTAATGGGCAGGAAGGGAACTTTTTGGGGGTGCTGAGAAGGTTCAAAAATTGGACTGTGGTGATGGTTGCACAACTCTACTAATTCACTAAGAATCAATTGAGTTATACGTTTATAATGGGTAAACTGTCATATGTAAATTATATTTCAATAAAGCTGCTAAAAAAGAGTCCTCACTTTTTTGAGACACAGCGATATTAATGGAAGAAAGGATAAGATGTCTGTGAACTGCTTCAAAATAACATGGGGGGCAGTGGGGCTCTAATAAAACACATGAACGAGACTGGCTGAGAGTCCGTAGTGCTGCAGCAGGTGACGGATACACGGGGGCTCATGCTCTTCTGTCCAGTTTTGTTTGTTTAAAAATTTCCATAATAAAGAGTTAGACAACAACACAAGCATAGTGATCATTCTGGGGAGGCATGTGGAACTTCCTTTAAAGACATGTGCACAGAACCTCCCGGGGCGGTGCGCGCTCACCTGGTGAGTACCGCATGACGGACAGCTGCTCGTTCCCATCCGTGTGCACGGTGACCAAGTCTTTTGTTTCTGTGTCAAACACAAACCACCTGTTGCCAACAGGAGAAAAGTACAATACGTGGTTTAGTGGGAAGTGAAGCAAGACTATTACAATAACAGTCAGACTATTAGAAACTTTAACCTAAGGGCTTAATAAGTCCTCTGTATTACTTAGCAAGAACACCATTCCCAGCTTCCATGTACAGAAAAGGTCCTACTTGCGAGCATACCCTACCATGGAGCACACCCTACCACCAGGAATGATTGGTTACCAAGGCTATGACGGCTTCCTTAGGTCTGAGTTTTGTCACTTCCATGTAAAAGGAGGGACAGCTCTGGGCAGAGAAGTGGGGCCAACACCTAACTCGGGGTTGTGGCCACAGGAAGTGGCAAAGGGACCCCCTGCATGGCCCCACCGCAGGGTGAAGCAGAACAGGTGCCCGGGGTGGGGCTGGGACACCCTCAGGGGTGGTGATGTGCCCAACTGCATGGAGTGTCTGACCTCCAGGAATGCTGGCGTGCAACCAGCCGGGTGAAAGAAACGATGGAGGGAACGGAAGAGCGAGCAGAGGGCTGGTGTCTGAGGTTAACCCCTCAGGGCTGTTTCCTCAGCTGTCAGGTGGGGGTCAGGGCCCAGAACCACCGTGCAGACCCAGGGCTAAGTCAGTGCAGGCTGTAACAGATGCAGAAATGGTTCGAATCCCTAATGAGGACACGGCGCTCGGCAAATGTCAAACAGCGGATGACCCACTCTCCAAAGAGCGAGCAGAGGGCTAGTGTCTGAGGTTAACCCCTCAGGGCTGTTTCCTCAGCTGTCAGGTGGGGGTCAGGGCCCAGAACCACCGTGCAGACCCAGGGCTAAGTCAGTGCAGGCTGTAACAGATGCAGAAATGGTTCGAATCCCTAATGAGGACACGGCGCTCGGCAAATGTCAAACAGCGGATGACCCACTCTCCAAGAGGAGAGGCTCCAGCACCGATCTGCTGCCTGGCCTTCGGAGGCACATGGTCAGTAAGTGTGAGCTGAGTCTGAATCTGAGGCTTGGGATCGGGGCGGTTTCTAAAATTCTGAAAGGGCAGCAAGAAAAAGCATTTTAAATTCTCAGTGCTGTGAAATGCTTCTTTGCTCGATTCCGAATTGAGGTTCCTCCCACCACAGGCAGCAGAGGGCTCGAGGAGGGTGTGTGTGTGTGCGCGCGTGTGTGTACATGTGTACGTGTGTGCATGTGCCTGTGTGTGCCTGTGCATGCGCGTGTGTGTACTCCTTCAGGAGGGGGCCACAGCTTCCCCCAGGCTTTCCCCAGGGCCAAAACGTGAAGGACCCTGTCTTCATTTCCCTTTGGGGTTCTGGCCTCACTTGGTAAGTCACCAGAGGCTGGGGAAACACACTCCCTGAACCGTGAGCGCAGCGCGCTGCTGTGGACTTACCTCCCGGTCAGTGTTCCAACTGCAACCACAGACCCTGAAGGATGAAAACCAGAAGACTGAGCTGGATCCTAAAATATTTTAAAGGAAGTGTAAATTGATGGCCAGACAGCACGGTAGCATAAAAACACAGCACAGCCCTAGTCCCTCAGGGCCGTGTGGCCCCGTTTTAAATCTCTTTCCTCTCCAGGGAGGAAACGGGGACTTTCCCTTTCTGTCTCACACCCTTTCACAGTTACAGTAGTCAGGTGGCAGGCAGGAAGTGTGCGCCCATCCTCTAAGTCCTGGGAGCCGGCGCAGGTGACCCCAGGCCGCAGGGTGAGCGCCATCTGTTGGGACGCATGCCCACTGCGCCTGTGCCGTTAGGTGGACTCTGGTTGAGTGTGGGGCAGCCTGGAGCCCTGGAAGGATCAGAGATGAGCAAGGCCCACTCCCATTTAGTTCTGGGGGTACACATACGTGTTCAATGCTAACTGATACAAGATGGAACGTGGTGGATGACAAGCTGTGGGGTCCCAGGAGCAGGGAGTCAGACGAGTCAGACAGGGAGGCTGGGTGGAGGCTGGGTGGAGGCTGGGTGGAGGCAGACGGCCTGACTCCGCCTTCTGCCACAGGAAGACCCATCGGTGGTGAATGTGGAAGTAGACACACCAGTATTTTGGGGGATCAAGGGTTAAGGGGACAGTAACGTGATAAAAAAGGTGGAAGCAATGTAGTTTGGGGCCCAGCTGAGAAACGGCAGTGGGTTTACGATGCCGAGTTCACGGGGTGGGGGACGGGGAAGCGTGCGGTGACACTGGGAATGGGGCTGCGTTGCTATGCTAAGGACTGTGGTCACTAGGAAATAGCACAGTGAGTGGTCTTTTTCTTCCAGGAGAAAGAGTGCAGGATCGAATCTGTGACAGACAGAGGGTCACCTGGCAGGGTGTTTAGGACACACTGAAGTGAGAAGAGGTTAATCCCGGGAAGACAAGGAAAGAGCAGCAAGGGAAACGGAATTAGGAGGAGAAACTTCTGGATAAACTAAAAAGATGCGACCAGAAGCTCTTCAGGTATTGATTCTGTTACTGCGACGCTTTTTCCAAAGTGGGAGCTGTAGTGAAGCTCAGGCCGCCACGGTCACACAGACAGAGGTCACGGCCACTCGAGGCTCCAGCATATCATTCGTGAGATGAAGGCACTGAGGTTCAGGGAGGTCTTGTCCAGGTCACATGGCCAGAGGAGAAAGGCGGCAGGACTTAACTCTGGATGTTTCTGGCGTCCGGGTCGGTCCCCACCCTTATGCAGGTGGAGGGAGCTCACAGCCTGGTGCAGGAGCGGGCATGTGCCCGGGTTGCTTTCAGCAGGGCTCTGTGCTGGCCGAGGCCTCAGGGCCGGCGCCCTCCCGGACTGCCACTGTCCCTGCTGTGCCGGTGGTTGCTGTCAGATCTGCACAAACCCCTCGTGTATTTTTCATACATGAAGTCCCTGCGTGGGGACAGGTACAAGGCAGGACCTCCTGTAGCCATGCCCTGCCACCTCGGGCCACCCCTCAGGCTCTGGCATCCCATGATCTGCTCTCCCAGCGACCTGACCTTCTCTGAAAGCAAAAAGCAGGCGGCTGAGACTCAGATCCGGCGCGCTGGGGCATGCTGGCAACTGTGCGGGCTGCAGGGCGTGTGGGTCACAGAGGAGCCCCCTAACATGGGGCCCTGCAGGATGTGCTCCTGGCCCACAGCAGTGGGAGCAGTGGAAGACCCTGGGTTTGGGATCAGGCTGAGCTGGGTGAACACTGGCTCTGTCACCAACTCAGTGACCTTGGCAAGCGATGTGACGCCTCTAAGCCTCAGTGTCCGAATCAACAAGAGCAGGGTACAAAGACTTCAACTGGCAGGGCTGCACCAGGGTGAAGGGTCGTTAATGCACCCACGGTGCTCGGTATGCAAACGGCGCTCAATACATGCAGTCACGGCTGCCTTACACGTAGGAGGACGGTTCAGCGCTGTGCTATGTGAACTGAGGCCTTTCATAAAAATCACAGAGATGCGGGCTTTAAAACGAAAGCTTTGCCGTGATCATCGCGTTGTAGAGAGAAACTGTACGCTTTTAGAACAGTTTATAATTCTCATTCCAAAGGTACATTGTGAAAGAATGCAGGCTCAAACAAGGGCTTCTCAGCTCTAAGCCAGTGGACGGGCGCAGTCAGGAAACCCAACCACCGACTCCGAGGGACTGACTTGCTGTCAAAAAGTTCAGCAGTGCCCGGCTGGTGCGGCTCAGTGGTTGAACGTCAACCTATGAACCAGGAGGTCACGGTTAGATTCCTGGTCAGGGCACATGCCTGGGTTGCAGGCTCCATCCCCAGTGTGGGGCATGCAGGAGGCAGCTGATCAATGATTCTCTCTCATCACTGATGTTTCTCTCTTTCTCTCCCTCTCCCTTCCTCCCTGAGATCAATAAAAATATATTAAAAAAAGAAAAATGTTCGACAGCAACCTTCACAATTACACAGGTGAGACCACTCAGGAACGCTTAAAGCAACACAATTCAAATCGAAGGAGATAAATTAAGTGACATTTGCATCGGGACAATTTAACATCTATCAATTTCATGCAAATAAATAAATGAACATGTTCCAGATGAATTTCTACAAGGAAAATGGGTGTAACGTGCACACCTACCTCTATTATCTTGTCCCAGACGGGCCGGTGACCGACGGCGTCCCAGAGAGTGGCATGTCTGTCGTGCCCACAGGTCAGGAACTGGGGCTTTGAGGCGTGGATGGCCAGTCCCCAGAGCTCGTCAGTGTGACCCTAAAGAGCCAAGACAAATGCACGCTCTCTGAAACACTACAACCAGCACTCTGGAGCTTTCCTTTTCATTCTTTTTTAAAACATATTTTTATTGATTTCAGAGAGGAAGGAAGAGGGAGAGATAGAAATATCAGTTGATGAAAGAGAATTATCGATTCTCTTGCACTCCCCACACTTGTGATCGAACCCACAACCCGGGCATGTCCCCTGACTGGAATTGAACCGTGACCTTCTGGTTCATAGGTTGACTCTCAACCACTGAGCCATGCCGCTGGGCCCGGGAGCTTCCAAGGATTACAAACTAGGCTTGCTGCATGGTTTACAGTTAATCTCATCAGAGTGTCTTCCTCCCCCACCTCAGTCAGGACAGCCAGCGGGAACTCCCGCAGCGCAGACAGGCTGTGCTCATATAAAACACAGCAGTAGCCCCCTCTGTGTGGTGCTTTATCAGCTTCTAACATTCTGTAACAGGGATGTGTGGGGTGGGCCTGCTGGGACGCACCTGAGTGATGGCCGAGAAGTCCCCTGACAGCGTGCCCTGCAGGACAAAGTTCCTGGTGGTGCCTATCAAGATCACATCGCCTTTCCCCTCGGCCACCGTCCGTATCGGACCAAACTGTTCTGGAATCTGCATTGAAAAGAGAAGATGGAAGGTGTCATTAAAAATACCTGCTTATATACCATGACGACAGCTCCTGTCACAGTCTCACACACACACACACACATACACACACAGCTATACACGGAGAGACAGGGGAAGGTCCACAATCAAATGGCTGAGTGAATGATCAAAACCCCAAATCTTACTTTTAAACTCTGAACATTTTATATTCCTTAAAAAACCCAGCAAGAGTAAGGCTGTTAAAAAAATAATAAAGAGTAAAGCATTTTTTGCCTGGCTGATGTGGCTCAGTGGTTGAGTGTCAACCTATGAACCCAGGAGGTCACAGTTTGATTCCTGGTCAGGGCACATGCTGGGTTCTGGGCTCGATCCCCAGTAGAAGGCGTACAGGGATGTGTGTCTCTCTCACATTGATGTTTCTTTCTATCTCTTTCCCCTTCTATCCCCTTCCATTCTCTCTAGAAAAACAACAACACACAACTCCGTGAAAGGGAAAGTGATTTCCAAGTTCAGATGAAAGCTTTCCTTTATTAAGAGCAATAATCAGAAAGCCAAGTTCTTCTACAGCCAAAGCACGGTGCGGCGCTCTCTGATGGAACGTGGGCTACAGGGTGTAACGAGTGTGAGAACCTGCCTTCCAGGTAGGAAATGCGCTCAGCGTGCCCACTCTCTGGTGGGGAGAAAGACCATCGACTGTCAGATTGATGCGCTATCCGTCTGCTCATAATTTCCTGGGGCCTGGGGGCGAGTGTGGAGGGAATATTGGATTTCGAGCCTCTGGCTCCTGCCATCTGCAGGCTGCTAACCAGGTAAAAGGGGGTGAAAAAGATGGCCAAGGACTCAGAGCTCACGAGAGAACATGCTGGCACTCAGCCAGGTGCAAAGTAGATACTCAATAAACATGAGCAGAAGTCGCCTTAAAAGCAATAATGTCTCCAAAGCAACACCCTGGAGATTACAGTGAACAAAAGGAGAAAGATTTTAATGGTAAGTAAGAATGTAGACAATATTCCCTTGGAAAAGTGAGATTGGTTCTATTATAAAAATATTCTAAATGTGAAATATGTTACCACCTCAGATTTTATACATCGAATTCCATGTTAATAGTTGTACTTAAACTGCCTCCAGGATTTTAATAAAATACTACACTACTTAATAAAATTTTATCTAAACAACTTTCAAAACTGTAGGCTAAAGATATCAAACCAACAAGGAAACTGGTTAGGACAACAGCTGAAGATTCAAAATGGATGTCAATAGTACTGCTTGCTGTCTTACCTCAGTTTTATGAAGTTTCTGATAGTTTCCATTCCAAGAAATGAGCTTCCGGTCCTTCCCGCCTCCCGACACCAGGGTGCCGTCCCTTAACATACAAAGTGCAAAAATACCACCCTCGTGGGCCCCTTGAATGGCATAGCTTATTCGATTCGTACCTAGACACACCAAGAAAACCATCCTTAGTCCCTTGCGAAGAGGCTCACCTCTGCCCGTCACTTCCACTCTTGTTTTAAAGTTGACATTGTCGGTTAGAACATCACTGACGTGTAAATCTAGCTATAAAGGGTCTGATCTGCAGACGTTCACAGAGCACCAGGCAGGCACGGGCAGGATTACTGTACCGTTAAGGAAACTTGCTGATGGGAAGGCAGTGTGAAGAGAACCCAGGGACCCGAGCTCAGAACAGGGACTCAAGTCTGGGGACCTGTGTCTCTGGCCAAGCGACTTACCTGCCCTACCTCAGTTTCCCCTCTGCTTTTCCCAAAGGCCTGTTCTAAGGGGGAAGAAAACACTGTAGCAAGCACCCGGCACCCAGAGGAGCGGGGACTCCACAGAAGTCACCCCATTGGCCGGAAATAACGTCGATGGGTCTTTCCCACCTTCACCACAGCCCAATCTCTAAGGTCCTGAGCCAGGGATGGTGTACTTTTCCTTATTTCCTGGCACATGGTGAGCGTGCATAACTGCTCACTGAATGTAACTGAATGGACGTTTTCTGAGTGACGGCTCCTCCATACCACGCTGTTTGCTCACTGGCACGGGGGACTCGGGTCTGACTCATCTGTATGCCCTGGCGTCTAGCACGCTGCCTCTCGCATATTGGTGATCGATGACATCTGCCAAATGCTATGTGAACCAGATACTTATTAAATATTCCATAGCTAAGCAAACAGTCATGGATGCCTTCATGCTTACGATATGTTACTAGATCTCCTAATAAAGCTATTATTCCGTCATAACATCTGGGCTTAACCAGTCTTTTAGGATGACGGAGGGTCACAGACCCTTCCCTCCCTTTTCCTCTGCTCCTGTGCATGTATGTACCTGCATACCGTGGGGTTTCACAGTCAGCCTGTGGACTCACTGAGAGACAATCTTACAGAAGTCGCCTTTGACTTCTCAGAACACCGCCAAAGCGTCAGCTCTGGGAGCAACCAGGCATTACCTTTTCCCCAGACCAGGATGTTGCCACTTGAGTCTCCGGTAATGGTGTCGCCGTTTTCAGAAAAAGTCACACAGAGGACAAACTTTGGCTTCTCTTGCTTCTGCAAATGTTGTAAATACATAGTCAGTCAAGGCAGCCTTTCGTCTGTATTAACACTCTCTAGCCCAGGGGTGGGCAAACTTTTTGACTCGAGGGCCACAATGGGTTCTTAAACTGGACCGGAGGGCCGGAACAAAAGCATGGATGGAGTGTTTGTGTGAACTAATATAAATTCAAAGTAAACATCATTACATAAAAGGGTATGGTCTTTTTTTTTTTTTAGTTTTATTCATTTCAAACGGGTCGGATCCGGCCCGCGGGCCGTAGTTTGCCCACGGCTGCTCTAGACTCACGATAATCCCAGCTGGATGGAGCCCCCACACTGATGCTTTTCATGTTCATCTACCATTACGTCACTTACGCTGTGAGATGACCTGCTCTAAAGAAATTCCTGGGATGTATAACGTTACAGACAGTTCGAGCGGAGGAAGGTGTTGGAGGGGGCTTAGGAGTGGGTGGTGTTGTCATGACTACAGTCTGCGGAGCGGGGTCCTGGCCCCAGAATAAAGATACTCTAACTCCATCTCCAGGTGTAGCAGCAATCGTCCCCACAGAGATGTGCTGTTCCCGGGGCTCACACAAGGCCCCACGTGGCCGGACTAAAAGGCAGAGTGTCACCACCCTTGGCAGAGGTGGGCTCCCCAGCTGACCCCTAAGTGCCTTCTCGGCTGCTCTTGGCCATCATGGCCGCTCTGGGCATCCTTTCCCTGTGCGCCCCGTGTCGGCCCACCTTCCCCCTCGGCATCACCACTGTCATCCCCATGACACAGGGGCTCCCCAATCCTGTTAGGGATCCGGATCTGGGAATAGTCTTTGTCACGACACCCCGACTGGCACCCCCGCATTGGCCACTGAAAAAAATTCTGAGACCGGATGCCTGACAGCTCCCTGGTCACAAGCAAAGCTGGTCACCAGACACTCAGTGAAAACAAACTACCAATGTAATTGAACTTCACCTCGAATAATCCTTGCTTCTTAATGAGGCAGTTTCCTTCTAGCGTCCAAAAGTAGAGGTGTGATTTTCCGCAGGTGACGATGATGTTGGTGTCCGTGGGGTGGAAGTCCACGGCAAACACAGCTTCATTAGAGCACTGAGCGAAACAGGACACTCACATGTCTCAGATCTCGCAAGACCCCACAAATAAACCACGCCCTCAAGCTAAGCCCCAGCCTCTCCGTTTTCCCCATTGAATTTATCGTCTATAACGACCAAGCCTGTGGCCTTGACCTCTCCTGTCTCTCTCCCCCACTGGCCCGTGGCCTGAGGGCAGGGCAGGGGCCCTCTCTCTGTGAGGACCCATCACAGGAGTGGGCGCAGAGTAGGCCCGGCAGCGGGCGTTCGCTGAAGGAGGGGCAGGGGCAGGAGGGGTCTTAGCAGCAAGCATTTGCCCTCGTCACCCAGGCATGGATCCCAGCCCCGGCCAAACAGCAGAATCAGCTGGGGTGCGTCTCGTGCAGGTGCCAGGCCTTGTCCCCATCTAGTGACGGGACCTTGGGGAGGGCCTAGGAGTCTGCGTGTTATACAGCTCCACTGCTCTTGGACATTCGGCACCACTCGCCCTGGGAGTCCCTCCTGGGACTGGGCCGGTGGGATGCAGGAATGCAGCTCTTTGGGTTACCCTTCACCCCATTATCTCGTTCCTATGCACCCTGGCCAGAGGAATGACACCCTGCCTGCTCCTTCCGCTTGATAATCAGTTACACCTTCTCACACCTGGATAACAACTTGCCTCTGGTTACTGCCCACCTAGCAACGTAGCAGGAATGCCAGCACTTGACCAGATACTAGAGGCATGAACACAGGTGCCAGGAAGTGGGAGATTAGTCTACAGGGTCTGCACCCAGACTCGCAAGTGAGGAGGTGCCCAATGCTGCCCCTCATGTCAGGTAAGATGACTCAGTGCTAATCTTAATGTGAGGGAAGCAAGGTTATCTAAGGTTCATGGATGCCGGGATGAGAAATAAGAAGTTGATTCTATAAAATAGACTGAACTATAACTTAACAGGGGGAAACGTAAGAAAGGGTTGGGGAAGTTCACTGCTATTTTGTGCGGAACGGATCAAAGGTGGGAGAGAGAAACCCTAAGGGCACCAGCCTGGGACCCGGCGTGGCCCCTCCTTCCCCAGTGCTGAGCTCTGGGCCCTGGGCTGGCGGTCAGACCTCCTCCCCCCACCCTTCCCGGCCCCTCCCTGCCTGGGACTCAGTGTCACTGCACCTCCAGTGCCTGCTTGCTCGACATTTGGGTACACAGGGGACACTTGGCATTTGTGGAATCAAAGCGAGGAAAAGTGAACAAATGAATTTAAAGGGCCGTGGCTGTACAATGAGGTCGGCAAACCCTGGTAGACATTGTGAAGAGAGGAAGCAACCTGCCAGGCTTGTGCATGGCATCCTGGGAGGGGAGGGGCGGGGCGGGCCACAGGGATGCTGGGGCAGGTGTCCCCCGAGGCTGCCGTGGGATGGGGACCTGCAGCCCTCTGAGGAGCAGGGAAGTGGCCAGTGGCCCGTGGCCTGAGAAGGCTCCACATGGAGAAGGACAGCGTGGCCAGCGCCAGGCTGGGAGAGAGACCTTGACGTCCGCCAGCCGCTCCTCCCGCTGCCAGTCCCACACCGACAGCACGTGGTCGTTGGAATCGTCCACAGCACACAGGTTGCTCCCTCCATTCTGAAAAAGAGAAGTATTCCCGGGAAGACTACATTTGAGGACAAACAGGTCGAGCGTGATTAAAAATGAACGATAATTTTACTTTTAACATGGAGTCTGCCGCATGTTGGCTAAAGAATATTTGCCGATTGCCTTTCAGACCTGCTGACGTGGGCGGATAGACAAGGAGAGCCGGTGAAGGGGGGCTGATGAAGGGACAGCAGCAGGAGAGGGGCTTCGGGGGGCTCCCCCTAGCAGGTCCACTAAAAACAGCCTCCTCAGGGCTGCCGAGCCCTCCCCCGGAACAGCACAGACCTGGTGCTAACGGGGTTACTGAAAGGCTGTGCCAGGAGGGAGAGCACTGGGGTGGAGCGTGTGCTGCTTGGATGTGGACACAGGCATGGGCCTTGGATATAAGTCTCTGAACTGGATGAAGACGTGGTTGACAGGGAGGGTCTGGGGGAGACCTGGCGCCGTCCAGCCCTGTGACAGTGAACCAGCCTGTGAGGACAGCAGGGGCATGCTGGGGTCCCCTAGGGAGGGGCAGGTGACATTCAAGGCCAGAGCAGGCCAACGGCCTGCAGAACCGGAGGACAGCTGCAGCAGGGCCTCCCCTCTGCTCGCCCCACGGCTGGAAGGCTGACTGGAGGAGGGTGGCCTCTGAAGGTGGGGACGGGGAAGCGGGCAAGTTTCGGAGTCAAATCTGCACACACACCCAGGAACCACCCATAACTCTCTCCCTCTTTGGCTGCGGGCTGACCCCTCCCTGTGGAGAGAGTGCGCCACCAGCAGGGCTCAGACTTACAGATTTAGAGAACGCGATGCAGGTGACCGCTCGGTCAAAAAACCCGGCCCCAATGACGTGCAGGGTGTTCAGTGTCACAGAGTCCCAGATGCGCACGTGTGGGGGCAATTGCTGTTGAGGAAAAAACGCAAAGTCACCAATTGTGAGAGTTCCGCAAATTTACCTTTACCTTGAAGCTACAAGGTGACTTCAATTTTGTCAAGACAAAAGGTCTTTTTCTGCCTTTGATAATTCTTTTAACATAAATGACAGATTCCCAATGTCTTCAGGAAGTCATGGCCTCTGTGCCATTTAACCTCAGGTGAGGTCTGCCAAGTTTTAAATTTTGAATAGCCAATTCTTTAATCCACAGGAACTGATATTCTAATGTATACATCTGGACGCAACTGAATTTTAAAATTAAAAAATGACAAGGAGAATGGAATCTCATATAAGGATTAGTCTTACAAAGTTCATATTGTTATTAAGGTAGGTGTGTGTGTGTGTGTGTGTGTGTGTGTGTGTGTGTGTGAATTCATCAAGACGGTCACCACCAAATCATTTTAAGGGCTCCGTGGGCCCCATAAGAGCAAAACAGGCAATTAATTATGCACAAATAAAATTTAGAATTGCTATGATTCAGTTCAATACCCTCTCAATTGTGTTTCACAGGGATTTATACTAATTTTTTTCTTTCTCAACAGAGAAAAGCAGCCCAGAACTGTCAGCAGATTTGTCAAGAAAAGGCCCAGCAGTGCACAGCAGTGCACCTCGAGGACAGTGGGGTCAGGTGAGTTAGGTTCTAGGGTGGACTGGGCTCTAAGCAGCTGGGAGGCTGCACACAGTCACGTGACCGCCCTGGACTTCTCCGCTTGTAACTTGTAATGGGAGGCTCAGATAGCCATCACATCTTCTCTGGCTGCAAAGTTCTGATTTCAATGCCAGAAACGGAAATACACGTTCAATTCACCAGAGGGAGGAACAAATGGCTTACTACTAATTTCAAAGAACTTCTAAGGTCATTTAACATTTAACAAACACAGGCGACTCTGTTCCATGCATGTGTATTTACATAATAGTGGTCTGACTTATTGTTCCTGTTACTTCAAGTGTAGAATTTTAATGGAAAATAGAAAACAGTTAATATTTAATAGTTGATGTTATTGAAATATTTTCCAAAAAATGGTAACACTTGGGTTTGCTGGAAGGCAATGTTGATAAAAATGGAAATATTTCATGTGATGAGTATCAGATCATCTATTGCTCCATAATAAGCTACCCTTAGGCAGGTATCAAAAAAGCTACAAGGAGCCCTAGCTGTTTGCTCAGTGGTAGGAGCATTGGCCTGAGGACTGAAGGGTCTCGGGTTCAATTCCGGTCAAGGGCATATAACTCAGTTGTAGGCTCAATCCCGGGCCCTGGTCAGGGCTCATGCAGGAGGCAACCAATCGATGTTTCTCTCTCTCTCTCTCTCTCTAAAAAACAATTACCAATGGAAAAATATCCTCGAGTGACGATTAACAACAATCACAACAACAAATAAAAGCTATAAGGAGTGACAATGACCACAGCCTGCAGTAAATGAGGAAAGGACAGCCAGTTCTGAATTGTTCTCTGTTGAATTCCACTAGTTCCCCCTCTGATTACAGAACTTGTGGGAAAGCCCAGCGGTCTCTGTGGATCTCACACAGATGCAAACTCTAGGACTGAGGTCCTGATTATAGGGATCAAGAGAATGTATCTGAAGTCACCGGAAAGGCAAAATGCCCACTTCAAATCATGTCATTATGATTTTAACTTTACGCATTAAATGTGTACTTGGTATTTTAATGTTTATCATGTATGTAAATATCTTAAGAATTAGTGAATTCTTAGGCAAGAATGATGTTATTTAAAAATTGGCTGAAATTAAGGTGAATTTAAAGGGTTTTTAAGATTACTGTAAAATTTTTAATTTGCAATAAAAAGTTCTAATGAGAGATTAAGAAGTGTTCAGGTGCTTTATATCTAAGCAGGCTTAGCAAAATGTTATGTTATACAAAGAGGAAGAGATAACGTAACTCACTTTCCCATCCTTGGAAGTGCCCGCGACTTGTCCTGTTGCTATTGTAATCTTATCCGGATGAACTGCTAGGCTATAAAAAAGATACTTATAAAATTCTTACTCTTTAAAGGTAAGCTTTATTTTTTCCTTGATCAAATATAATCTAGCTGACAATCTATATATATAAAAGGCTAATATGCTAAGTGTCTGTCTGACCGGTAGCTATGACATGCACTGACCACCAGGGGGCAGACACTCCACGAGGAATCAGACTCCCTCTTCTCTGGTTTTGGGGTGCGTCACCTGAGAACTGCCACTGCCAAGTCACTGCAGCTCTAGCACTCCGGGACCCCTCGGGGGATGTCAGAGAGCCAGTTTTGCCCAATCTCTGCAGGCCAGGCTGAGGGACCCCACCTGCTGGAGGGACCATGCTCACTTTGCAGATGCCCTTTGAACCACGCACCACCCCAGGTGCGGCTGGCAGGGAGGGATCACGGGAGGTTGGCTCCAGAATGCGTCTGGCCCGTCTTGTCCAGTCCATCCCTGCCGGCCACCTTCTAATTAATTTCCTTTCAATGTGCATGAATCCATGCACCAGGTCACTAGTTTAAATATAAAAATATAGGATGCCTAATTTCTTACAGAATCACAGTAAATCATCTGAGCACTCCAATGACTTTAGACCAGGGGTGGGCAAACTTTTTGACTCGAGGGCCACAATGGGTTCTTAAACTGCACCAGAGGGCCAGAACAAAAGCATGGATGGAGTGTTTGTGTGAACTAATATAAATTCAAAGTAAACATCATTACATAAAAGGGTACGGTCTTTTTTTTTTTTTTTTTTAGTTTTATTCATTTCAAACGGGCCGGATCCGGCCCATGGGCCGTAGTTTAACCACGGCTGCTTTAGACAATTAGTGCTTATTTCATTTCATCTTGATTCCTTCATCTCTAGAGAATTTTCAACTCAAGGAAAAAGCATTTTTTGTTGTTGTTGCTGGAAAATATCATTTCAATCTCAGAACTACTTAATCAGTCAGCAAGCTTTTTTAAAAAGCCATGTTGAGTATATCAAATAGCAAAGACACCACTGTTTTCAACAGTACTTTTATAACAGACTAGGGACCTAGGGCAAATAGGAAAGCATAAATCCATCGCTTCATCCATCCATCTTTCCAAATACATAAAACCCCACCGAAGGCTGTGAACAAATTATGGGAATAGCAGAGCCAGCCCAAAACACGAGGCAAAACATTTTACTTTTTATTAAAAAATAAAGACCGCAAATTAGAAGCCGTTAGCATGAGATGTGTTAAGAAGGCCTTCTAATCAGGGGTCTATTAGAGCTACTGGTTCAGGTAAGGTGGTTGGTTAAGACTATGGGTTATAAAAACAGAAAACTCCAAAGGTGTCTTAGAGGCCAGGGAGCTAGTGGGCAGCACAGAACACGAAATGCTTTTCTCAGGTCCCTTCTCCTTAGTGATGCCCCGATTGGAGCCCTTCCTGCTAACAGTGCTACACAGGAGCAGCCTGCCTCAGGGCTTGGGGGACTCACCACTTCACGTCGTCATTGTGGCCGGCGTAATGCCTCTGGAGCTGCTCCTCCACGTTGTACAGCACCACCACGGACGCGATGAAGTACACCGTCTCGCCCGTCGGGAGCAGGTACAGGTTGTTCCGACAGTCCCGGCCCCTGTACCCGTAGCTTCGTGTATGTCAAGAGAAAACTTGTTTTCTTCTGAAGAGCTGACAAACATCAGCTTTATCTAACAGGCAAACAATTCTACACGACTATTACCATCAATTACACACAATGTTACCTAGGGGGCCGAATACATCTCACTCCCTAAATAGGAAGGCAATGAAGTTGGAAATGGCCATTGATTTAATGTGAACACTTATTTTTTAACAATATGAAGATTTGGTTTTATTTTAAGAGTGTGTGTGTGTGTGTGTGTATTTTAAATTGATTTCAGAATGGAAGGGAGAGGGAAAGAGAGATAGAAGCATCAGTGATGAGAAAGAATCATTGATCAGCTGCCTCCTGCACGCTGCACACTGGGGATCGAGCCCACAACCCGGACATGTGCCCTGACCAGGAATCAAACCGTGACTTCCTGGTTCATAGGTCAACGCTCAACCACCTGCCACACCGGCTGGGCGAAAGTAAGTATTATATTTTGAAAGCTGAATTGTTTAAGCTTGATCAAAAGTGGTAACTTATTACTTTATTTACGAAAGGTAACTAGATCAGACATTCGTGACGTCACCGGCAGACGAACTCTTTCTGACTCAGCCTATTAATCCTGGTTCTGGGGAGCGACAGCCGGGGCACATTTTTATGTTGAGCTGTTGGATTTTACGTGGATGCCTGTCTTCTTTGCACCTCGTCTCCCTTTAAATTTGGCCAAGCTGGTGTTCTGAAAGGCTGACAACTGTGACATCCTGCCTCCAGAATTAAAGTCACCTGAAGCTGTAGACACTCATTTCACAAGAATGCTAGAATACTTGGCACCACATTTTGCCCCTCGTTCCCTCCTGCTGCCTTGCTTGTGTAGCGTTTATCTCCAATTATCACACTTGCTCAGATCTGCTGAACCGTCACCGGGGCCCACGGGGTGTTCACTTTCCCTCTGCTCTTTAGAGGCGAGGGCCTGACTCTGAAAACCAGAACCAGAAGGAGCCACAGGCCCAGCAGAGCCTGCACTCATCCACGTCTCCATGTCACTGTCGTCTTGGGACACAAACCTTCAATGGGGACCTAAAATGGCCTTATTCTGTGGGTTGAGAGAGCAGGCCTGGTTCTAGAGTCATGGTTGGGAAATTAATCGAATCCTATTATAGTTCGCGTCTTTGGTAGCTTGTATGGAAAACAAAATACATCTGAAAATGTTAAGTGAGGCTATCAATCCCACTCCAAGAAAAAACCTGGATCTTTGATAATTCCTATGTTTTATTTTAAAAAAAGTTAAGATGCTGATAATGGACTTTAACATACTACGGTTATTAAGTCAATTATGGGTTTGTTTCTTATTGTAATCTTGGAGCTCAATCTTTATAAAAGTACTTGTAAAAGGTGCAAACCACACTCTCTCTCACACACACACACAAATAAAAAGTAAAATATTTAGGTCCTTCCTCCAACCACTCCCTGCTGCTTAGGCTAATTACCACTGAGATTTTGGCATGAATACTTCCAAACCTTGAAAACTATTTTGCGAGCAAAACATGTGAATTTGGATGTAAAAAAGTAACCTGGCAAAAAAACCCACCACTTATTGGGAGCAAATTCCACTGTTTTGTATTTTCTACAATATAGACAGGGAGTAGGCTGAGCAAATGCGTTTTTTCCAATAATGCTTTCCAGATCTGACTTAGCCAATTTAACAATGACTGACTTAAAGAACTCCAACTCCATGCACCAAAATAGATTGAAAAATAGGGGCAGGGAAATGCTTATGACATCTGAATTTGAAAAATAAAAAATATATTTTGGAGGGAGAAATTTAGGTACAGATGCTAATTCTAAAAACATTCCAAAGATCCTGATTCCATAACTTCAAATACAGTAGCAATTCTCGTAAGTCAAACTGCAACAGCTTCCGTTTAAACCTACTTCGTATAACCCGTGTTTAGGGCTTTGCATTAAACTGGAAATCAATCCATATCTGTTTGAGGGGGAGGAAGGGTTTTTGCTTTGTCTTAAAATCTGCGTGGATTGGAAGGTGGCCTCTGCAGGCTTCCTCTAAAGCACAATAAAGTAAAATAATATAAAATAAAAAATAAAATAAAGTAAAATAAAATGTCAACATTTAATTCAGCCCTTCCCCAGGCTCTCAGCGTCTCCCCTGGGAAGCTCCTTCACTTTCCAAATCTCACCCCACGAAGGCTGGACAGCAGCTTAATGCCAAGGACGGTAGTCATATGGCCGACTGGCATTTCCGTGGCCTAGACTTGGGGTTGGGGGAGAGGTTTTTTATGGTTTTTAGGGGGTATCATAGCTATGCCACGTGGGGGTTCCGTGCAGGATGTGGGTTCTCGCTGACAGAGCCCCTCAGCGAGGCCGTGTTAACCTGCAGTCCGGCTCTGCGGCGGCCGAGTCCCTGCTGGGCTGGAGGGGGTATGCGTCCTTCCTTCCGCGCTCCCATGTTCATTAGAACCCTAACCTTTACCCACTGAAATGATTTCTGCTAAATTTGCTTTTCTAGGAGTTTTTAACTAACTTTATTCTGTCAGAAAAATTAAAATACAGGCCAGAAACTAGTGATGCATTTTCCCACAACTGTCCAAAAGAATCGTTCAGCCATAGAACATTTTAATATTCTCTCTTCAGGAAGACGATGTATATGTATTTGAGTGAGGACCACAAATATTGACCTCAGGAATGACAAGTTGGTGCCCTTCATCATCGCTAGCTCTGATGGAACGACTTTTCTAGTCTACGGGGTGCTGACTTATGGCCGATCCTGTTAAATTATTTTTAAATAAGAAAATGTTTTTGATGTTTTTTAAAGAAGCTTAAGAGAAATTAAGTTTTAAGAGTTTCTACAGTTGAGCATCAAGCCCAAAGCATGATCAGCGATGGCTCATGCGAGCCCCGCGCGAGGGACGAGGATACACCCACTCCAGCTTGAGCCTCTTGGTTGGAAGGTCCACTTTGGCTTCCAAGTTGTAGGACTCCACCTGGTCCCTGGGCATGTACATGGTGACCGGGCGGCCGCGGAGGAACATCTTCACGTAGCCCTCTTCTGCAAGGAGAACAGACGCGGTGAGATAGCTCAGCGCCAGGGCACCTGCGAGCCACGTCCCTTCCTAGCCTCTCAGTGCAAAGGGAAATCGCTGCCCTTTCCTGTCGCTTCTAACGAATGTCTAATGTCACCTTGTCCTCTTTGACCTTCTGCTCACTAAGTACATGAAGTATATAAGAAGCTGTAAAAAGCAGGCAAGAACTGGATTCCATTATTTTTTCATGAGAGATTTTATCATCAGGAAGGAAGAAAATGGTACTCCTCCCATATTATAACTAACACGAGAAGTCCACTGAAACTTTCTGAGCTCCGTGTATATATAATTTCCACATCGAAAGTCATAAGATATCCTCCAATGTTTAAACTGGTTGGTTACATGGCGATGTAAAAATGTGTCTCTGTGTCTTTTATGTGGGACAATGCTGTCCCGTGTAAAGAACCTCAAAGCAGAAGTACATGCTAGGATGCATGCAAAATGGGAAATGTTCAACGAAAAGCTAGAAATGGAAAACAAACGAGCAAAAGGCCCATCAGAGAGGGAAACTGGGAAATAAAACTTTCTGGCGCAAACACTTTCATAATAAAATAACTTCTGATGTTTTCATAAATTGTGGGGACAAAAGTAAAACCCAGGGACATATCGACATGGCATCGCCTGGACTTTGGGAAGGAAATAACTTGGGGTTTTCCGGTAGCGGTTTCTGGTCATGATAAGACCAAAGGAGGTTCCGGTGGGTGCTCCTGAAGAATGCGGTTCCCCGTCAGCGCTCGCTGCGCTCGGATGCGTCACTGCGGATCAAAGGACCAGCCGAGAGGCACTTAAATCAGGCAGCTGGGACCAGGGAGATCTGTGGTAACCCACAGAAACCATCCTCAGGAGGAGGTGGAGAGCAAACAGGAAATCATTCCAGTACCGCCAGGTGCCACCGTCACATGTTAGTTTTGTCAGTCTTAGCCCCAAGGGTGTCAAACCACGCCGCATGCAATGCTGCCCAGCAGCCCGAGGCCAGCTCTGCTGTTGCCGTGTGCGTGCCCCAGGCCTGATGCATGCACGTGACACACTCTTCACTCCACACGGGCAGGGGGCTCTGAGGTCAGAGCAGCACGCGTTCATCCCGCACAGGGAGCCGCCGCCGGGCTGTGGATCCCGCTGGAATGCTTCACTGGGTTCTGTCCTCCCAATGCACTGAGACCAGCCCACCTGAGACCCGGCACTGCAGGCTCTTCTATCAGTCCCCTAGGCCAGTGGTCGGCAAACCGCGGCTCGCGAGCCACATGCGGCTCTTTGGCCCCTTGAGTGTGGCTCTTCCACAAAATACCGGCTCTTCCACAAAATACCGACTTTTGCGCATGGGCCACGAAGTTTCAATCGCACTGTATGTGCGCACCCGCACGTGGTATTTTGTGGAAGGGCCACACTCAAGGGGCCAAAGAGCCGCATGTGGCTTGCGAGCCACCGTTTGCCGACCACGGCCCTAGGCCATCTCACATTCTGCGGCTGAACCCATGAAGGCCCAACCTGGGCTTCACTGAGTCTCTACCCCAAATCCTCCACTTGTCTCTGATGTGCTGGATGCAAAGGTCTAACTGCTCAGCCACAACCACCCACGTGGGTTCTCCTCTCTGGCCAGCTGCGTTTCCGGGCCACCCCACACATCTGTCCTGCTCTGGACCCCTAACAGGCTCTTCTCCTGGCCTCAAAACTCTTCCCTTCCTTACTCCCTCGCCAACATCTGAGCTCATCAGACTGCAGGGCTCCCTAAAGAGCCTAAAGCATCCAGCAGACTGACAGCTGTGAAGAGAGGGGCCGGCATGACAGAGCTTCACGTTAACTCGGAATGAGTCCACCCACTCTCCTTGTGAGAGAGGAATTGGACTGCAGGTCAGGGGTCGAGAGAACACAGCGCCACTTCTGCAGCACACGCAGAGCCCCGTGGCTGTGTTTAATCAGTGTCTGGATGTGATCAAGTATATCTACTTGCGTAGACTGTAGTAGGTGCTGCTGACGAAGGCCTTACGACGGAGGTTCACTTCCTGCACAAATCTCAACTGTTGTCTATGTCCTATGAAAACACTGGCCTTGGCCTGGTTTTGTCCTGGGAACGCAGATGGCCTACATCTAAAGCCCCGATGCGGCAAGGGGAAGCAACGTTTCTCAGGCGTGTTAGGGTGACAGCACACAGCCAGCACACCGGAGGCGCGGGGCAGGCCAGCAGGGGTGCAGGGCCATCACACGCACACAGTGGGCACCGGGCCTTGTCCTATAGCTCTCTTAAGGCTTATACAGATTTTTGGGGAAAGTTCCTGTAATCAGCCCATAATCAACCAAGACCCGAATGACAGCTACTTAGTAAAATGCTCAGGGGCTCAACTTCCAGCCAAGTGTGTGCGTCGCAGAAACGCTCTCACACGGGGAGAGGTCTGGCTGACGTATGAACAGCGTTTCTGGAGCCTGGGCCACAGCTTCGCTCAGAGAGCTATGAGGGTGCAGACAGGCGGCCTACCTTGGCAGTGCGTCACCCGGCGCTTCCCTTGCGATTTCGGAGACAGAGACAGAAGGGCTAGATAAAGAGACGCGGAGAACTGCAGGGCCCTGCCTGCCTGGGCGAGCGCTCGCTGGCTCTCGGTGGGAGAGGCTACCCTCCCCCGCCCCCGGCAGAAAATCCCGGACACATTTCAGGGATTCCGACAGGGAAGCCTAGCTCTGCAGGCCTGCGGTCATGGCACCGTCAGTGAGCGATCTCACGCTCCCTGAAAACGAAATGAATACGACAGCACTTGCTGACACACCGGAACTCTGACTTCTATGCTTCAATTCCAAATTGGAAAACACTGGGAAGACGAAAATTAAAGGAGTGGATTTACCCAGTTACTCACGTATCTATTTCTCTGCATTTTAAATGCATGTTTAAATAAGGTTAATACCCTATAGATAGCGTGTACCTTATTATGAAATGTGTTTTAAAAAGCTCTACGGAAAGGTCCAAACGAACTATTCGTTTGCAGGTTAGGAAACCACGGGCAGGACAGGAAGAAAAGCTCCTGCAGAGAAGTTACAACTCGGTGCGTGGGAGACGCTCCTTGTCAGGGAAAGGCAAACGCTGATGCCGGGAACCCCCTGAGCGGGAAGAGAGGCGGCAGGTCTGAGGACCCGAGTGCCCTGTGCTGCCCGCTGGCATCTTCCTCCTCCTGGTGGACGTATCGGAAACCAGCTCTTAAAGGGGCCAGTAAAGGTTCGGTCTGTATGATCTGAGCGGTGGGCCCCCGGGACCGGCCAATGTCAGCCTCGCCACGCAGACACCCAAGTTCTGGTGTCGACAGCAGCCCAGGCCCAGCTGCTTCTGAGCTGTGCCCGGCCTCTGAGGGAGTGAGGGCACCAGCACAGGTGCAGACTTACCCGCGCTGAAGACGGGCTCCTTGGGTTTGCTGCGGAGAAAAGAAAACCAGATTTTAGAGAGAGGCTGACCCCATGCATGCGAGACCCCACAGTGGTCAGCTGGCTTGTCACATGCATGCTGCGTGAGGGGCACGTGTTAACGAGGAAAACAGAACCACGTAACTAAAAAGGAGCAAGCGTGAGCAAAAACTTCCAAAACCGAGGCAGGAGGCTGCGATCCCGCCTCCTCCCGAAGCTGTGCTCCTCGCGAGCGGGTGAGGTTGGAGAGGAAACCTCTGGCCCTGCCCGAGGGTGTAGAAGGTGTGTTTTCCTCCCCGTGCCCTTCGGAATGGTCACTTAAAGAACTTATTTAAAACGAGCGGGTTCCTGGGAGAGGGGCTTGGTGAGGAGTTTCAGAGCCCGACTCCGCAGGGAGGCCATGGGGAGGGAGACAAGAGGGAAGAATAGTGAGGCCTGGGGGGCATGTCATCGGAGATGTGGGGACCCCACTGTGGACTTGGCCAGGCTGAGGCCGCCCCATGACTGCACCTGGGAAAGCAATCCCCCGAAGTCTTCAAGGTCGGGCCACAGAGGGACGGAGGTCACCCCTGGGCAAGCTCCCAACAGGACGAGCCCCCACGAGGAGTCCGGGTGCCGGGGAGACAGCCCCCTGTGGGGCAGCCCCACCAGTGCGGAAAGGGAGCTCAGGCGGGGCAAGAAGTGCACCGTTCAGACCAGAGCCCGTACGTGACCCAGGTCAGCAAGGCTCCGACATCCAAGCAGCTTCCCCGGCCAGCAGCCTCCTGATCGCCTCCCACTCTGGGGTACAGAACGAGACACCGTAAAGGAAACGCCGCCTAAGGGAGCCTGGAGGGGTGTGAGCCTGCGGAGGAATATGAACTCACTGATTTCGTGTGTGTGCCTATTTAAGAAAATGTCCCTGAGCAGATATCACCCTAATATGAATTTTCTCCTTAATTTTAAACTTGAAACACCAGCCGCAGAATTGCCCTCGCCCCGCGAAGTGATACATAATGTCCTGGATTTCCAGGGCGCTGCAAGCCGTCGCGGGGGCCTGCGGATGGTGCAGACTCTGCACTCTGCTCATGTGCTTTCAGGGCCTGTTACAGGGTCAGCTTCCTGACCTCTGACCTCTGGTCACTGAAACTCCTCACTGCACCGCACACCCATGAGGAAAAGCCTGGCCTGACGTTGGCCTAAAGGCCCAAGGGGCGGGGAGACACTGCTGCCTGGTACCTGGTACCTGGTACCTGGGGTGAGGCCCTCTGTGGGCCTGACTCCACTCTGCCCGCACCCCAGGGGCCCTCTCTGGGTCTCCCATCCCTCCCCCGGGGATGGCCTGGCACCTGTGCCAGCCACAGTGTGGACTTCTCCGGGCTCTCCGCTCTGCCCTCGGACAGCAGGCCTGCGTGCTGGGCTCAGCACCTCCCGACCTGCCCGCAGTCTTCCCCAGCCCCCCGAGGTCTGTGGAGGGGGTGTGGTGGGAGGGGCCCCTGTGCTCAGGGCTCCAGGAGTCTAATCGCCCTGCAGACCAGGTCCTCCAGGCCGCACTCAGCTTTCCAGACTCCGAGCCTCCAGCCGCCCTCCTAACTCCCAGCACCAAGGCTCCCTCTGCCTGCAGCTCCGCCGGACACAGGCGGCCTTACTGTGTGATCCTGGTCGGGTTAAAATAACTCCATTTCATAGGCTACCCGGCCTGTCCCCTTGTTGCGGGGAAGCGACACTTGTGATTTCTAAGCGGAAGCACCAGCCCCCACTCCACACTATCTATGTTATTAGATTCGCAGGGTAAGGACACAGGCGGAGGGGACGACAGATCACAGGCACCCCCCACAGAGGCATGAGGGCAGGGGTGCAGGCAGGGAACGAAGACGAAGTTGTTCTGTCCAGCACAACTTTGGCCACAGAAATAGAAAGATTCGAGAGCCACGAACACAGAAATAAGCTGCCCAGCGCCTTTCCTGGGGAACGCGACAGCAACCATGGCCTGCGTTCCTCTTAGAAAGGAAATCGCAGGGGACCTGAGCGCGGCTCAGGGTGGCCATGGGCTTCCGATGTTGAGGCAGCGCAGGAGGAAGATGAGTCTCTGCAAAGGGTTAGAAAGGGCAGCCTGCGTGTGACACCTGGCCGTCACCAGGAGAGGCACCAGGCAGCGCTGAGGTGTTCACGTTCCTTTACATCTTGCCCTAAACCAGGGGTGGGCAAACTTTTTGACTCGAGGGCCACAATGGGATCTTAAACTTGACCGGAGGGAGGGAACAAAAGCATGGATGGAGTGTTTGTGTGAACTAATATAAATTCAAAGTAAACATCATTACATAAAAGGGTACGGTCTTTTTTTTTTTAGTTTTATTCATTTCAAACGGGCCGGATACAGCCCACGGGCCGTAGTTTGCCCACGGCTGCCCTAAACTCTGCATCACTTTTTGGCCTATTGTATTTAGAAAGCAGACTGTCGCTATGTTGCATTATTTTAGAAAGTTACATTTTTATAGAAAAAAAATACTACGCTGACTTTAGAATCCATTATCCCTGCCAACGCACCAACTGTCCTGAGAGGCGAGAAGGGCGCCTGGGAAGGTAATTCCATGCGTGTGTGCAGGTCTCGTTAACACAGACCTAGAACACGGCCATGCACAGAAGGGCAGGCCCACGGAAGGGGCGAGGATGCCAATGACCCAACATGAAGGACACTGTGGCCTCTCGTCAAAATGCGTGGACACGAGTCCTTCCAGAGCTCATGGGCAGCGGGGTTGGGAGTGGACGTCAAGCCAGCACCACGTGAGACCTGCTGGCTGTGAGTTCACTGGCGATCGCCTTGCAGGTGTCATGCAATGTCCCTGATTACCATTCCTTAGTGGGGGCTCACTGGGAAGATGAAGTGGGTGATGACACTCTCGGGCGGGGGAAGAGGCCCCGGGACCTGATGAGACCTCGTCCATCCCTGTCTGAGCATGGAGTCGCCACAGGTGTCACCACCCTCCCGAGAGGCCCAGGAGAGAGCTAAGCCCAGAGGGGAGGAGGGATGTGCCCACTGGCAAGCAACCCCTCATCTCTCAGCTACCTCAACACTAGGCTGCGGCCAGTATCTGCAAAATGAACAGTGTTGCAATCCGGGTGGTTTTACTGCCGTGTTCTGTCAGGAAGGAGGAGGCTGGAGGAGCCTGGCTTACACTCCCTCGAGCTGGGGGGTTCAGGAGACTCTCCCAAGGCCTCTTACAAGCAGGACCTTGTAGGAAGCCACCCATTCTCTTCACTATCAGAGAAGTGTAAACAAGGAGCCTGGAATGCTGTTGAACCTTGAGCCTTGGCAAGGGCCAGAGCTATGCACCGATTGTTTAGTCCAGATAACGGGGGCTCAAGCAATTTCCTGACCAAATAGTCTCAGAGTAAATCTTTCTAATATTTGCTGACCTTTAAGATAGTCTGCCTGTTACCACAATTACCTGCCTAAGGGCTAGATGTGTATCCAAAATTGAATAGAAGTTTGGCAAGGCCTGGGCACCGGTGGAAGTCCTTCCCCTGTGTTGGGCTTTCCTCCTGGCCCCCAATATTTCCAAATTATTATTTCTTATCTCGTCTGTCATTTGCGCGTGGCCCTTCTCCAGATCCCGAACCCTGAACCACGCAGGACGTGATTCACACAGGACCTGGGGGCTCACAGCGGGTATGGGGAGCCTGGAGCCTTTACCAGACCCGTGGCTGGGTCTGGAGGCAGGATTTGAAAACCAGGAAGTTGGACCAAGGTTTGCACCCCCACAAAGCAGCTACAACTCAGTCATGTTATTACCAATCCCGGGAAACACTGCATTGCGGCCTTGGGGTGCAGGGGCTCAGTGGGGCTGGCTTTCTTTGCATCTGGTAAAACTCACACTTGCCACCTGCAGCCTGGGTGTTTATGAGGAGACAGACCAGCAGGGACCGTGTCCAGATTCGATCCACCGAGCGTTCACTGCCTCCTCCTCCGAGTTGGGTTGCACAGCACTTTCGTACCTGCTCCCTAATTTACCCCAAGTTCCTGAAAGGGGCTCAGGCTGCGCTGCAGGTCAATACACAGGTGACTTGTGCAGCAGGGAGCCCTGGTCGGCCAGGGCTAAGCAGCACTGACAGGGCCAAATGCTGTTTGAGCAGAGATACTGGCTTTTGAAAATGACTGGTAAGGCTGGACCAAGGAGGAGACCTCTGCAGAGTCTAACATCTTATTTCCCTGTGACTTATCGCCTGTAAAAACTTCCTCATCGCGCATTCCATGACTCCTTCTCCAAAGAGTTAACTCAATGAAATAAAATTCCTGCTGGAAGTCAAAATACTATCCTATGCAAGCGAAGATTCTTTATAGAAACAGCCCCAAGAGGCTAGAAATAGGATCATTTAGGAACCCATCTATTAAAAAGGTTTAGAAGTCACTGAAGACCTTACTGGGGACAAAAACTGCTGCTTCGTAGACATTTCCCACCATGACTCCCAGCGCGCCATGTGGGTGGAGCACGGATGGTGAGGTCAGCTGACCTGTGCTCCAGTCGGGCAAGTCGCTTCCCTCCACAGGCCAGGCCTTCGTTTCCTTCGTCTACAAAACGGATGAGACCACCGAGGGGCTTTGTCAGAATCAACTAAGTCGCGTGACAAAGTGCCCGGTGCATGGTGACCAGTTACTATCACTTCCCTCTGCCTCCTGACTTCACTGACACGAGTATATGTATTTCTAGGCTCTTCACCTAACAGCCTCAAAACTAAAACAATGTAAGAATATTAGCATTTATTACTTTAACATTTATTAAAGGATAAATGACCCCGAGGGCCCAAAGAATGAAACAATCTCTTCAATAATAAAAAAAAAAAAGCCAAACTTTAATCACCTAATTTCTAGTGCAAAATGTTTCAGAATCTAAAATGTTGTGTTAAAAGCATCTGCCCATAGGTGGCGCTGTTTACACACTTCTTAAATAGTTTTAAATTAAACAGATACGTAATATCCTTTCATTCATTCAACGGATATTTATTGAGCAGCTACTGTGAGCCAGGCATTGTG